CAAACAAAGTTGTTGGAAAAAAAATTTATATTTAAATGTATGCGATTTGAATTTGTATTCCAATTATTTGTAGCGTATTCGTTGAAGATTATGTAGCAATTTAAAAAAAGTATACAACGAAAGGAAGCAAACTTCGGCAAGCCGAAGTTTATGTACCCTTGCAGTTATTACAAAACGACTACATTTCGATGTCTATGCCTATATTACTAGAAACAATAAAGCTATGTCGATTTTGCGCTGCATTTTGCCATCGTTTCTATGGCAGCTATATGATATTGTTGTCCAATTTTGACAGAACTAAAAGCGTAATTCTGATATAGTAAATAATTACTACCTCTCAAAATATATATTTTTTTTATATATTTCTTTTAATTTTTTGATTTTTCTATGGGTTTTATATTTCTGATTTTAATGTAATTAAACCCGTAATTACATAGTATTTAGATATTAACAAATCCCAAAGAACAAGAAAAAAATTAAAAACAACAAAGTTATACTTCTTTAAAATTTTTTTGTTTCGATTTTGTTCCTATGGGAGCTGTATGATACAGTCGCCTGATCCGGCTCGTTCCGACTTATATACTACCTTCAATAGGAAGAAAACTTTTGGGAAAGTTTCAAGCAGGTAGCTTTAAAACTGGGGGACTAGTTTGCGTAGAAACGCAAACAGAAGGGCAGACGGACACGGCTAGATCGACTCTCCTGGTGATGCTGATCAAGAACATGATTACTTTATAGGGTCGGAGATGTCTCCTTCACTGCGTTGCAAACTATTGACTGAAGTTAAATACCCTCTTCTAGGGTATAAAATAGATTAAAAGTTGTTGTAAATGTTGGTTTTTCTTTCATTAACCTCACTTAAGCTACAGATTACCACGATGGCCAGGGCACTGAACGTTGGAATTTGATGTGTCAGCGATATCTGTCTGCTCGTGTAGTTTGAAAATTGAGAGTTATATAGATAGAGAAGCGGCATGCCCAGAAGAAAATCAAGGTTGATGATGTTTAGTAACGGTGGAATTTTGTTCCGGGACTCACGTCTGACGTACTTTGTGTCATTCGACGGCAAAACGATAAAGGTGATAAGGTGGTGATCTCTGAGCCATCATCTGCCCTGACTCGAGTTGGAGTTGAGGGGTTTTAGATGACTGGGTGGTGTAAGACAGTTGGCTATGCTTCCAGCATGGAGGGGTGATACATTTTAAAAGGTACCTCTTGTCGTTGCGCTGCTATCGGTGACCGTCAACACATCATCTGCTATGGTGTCATTTTGCATTTGTATGAACAATTTATGAACAATATCTTTAGATTAAAAGTTTTTCTTATTCCAAATCGTTATGTTCAAAAATAGAACCTGGTTTAGCTAGAGTGACTGTGAACATTAGGCTTACTAACATTTAGAAAATAATGTTCCATATCTAGTACTGTCAACTAATTCATTTCGCTTAACATTAATTATTTAATTTATCGTTTCAGTTCGCTAAGTATTAAAGTTTATAACTACTTAACAACAATTTGACCTTTAACACTGACATTAATATTGATCTTAATATTTTTGGTATCAACATATACATATTAGCTAACCTATGTAAGTAACACACAGAGGCAGATGCGTTATTTATTAAAAGTTGGTCAAAAGAATTTGATGATCCTTATGTCACTAAGTCTTATTATTTCGCTAGTCCGTCCGATTCTTGAGTATGAGTAATTCGTCTTAATATTAATACATTTAATATTAAATTATTGGATGAGCCTTTCAGAGTATTATGGTCTGACTATAATAGACTTTTCCCTATAATCGCAATTTCGACTCTGCCACTCTTAGTAATTACTTTATTAGCTTTCTTCTCGCGCGTCGTTCAGTACAATACATGGCTGCAGCCTTCTTATCATCGACTTTTTATTTATTAATTTTAATACAGCTTTCTGCTAGGGTGGTGTGAAGAGTTTCCCGCGTGAAATTTTCTCGCCAAGACATTTCCCCGAATTAAAAATCACCGATTCGCTTATCTTGGCAACTCTATTGAATCTTAACACGATACCGTGCATCCGCTGGTTTTTGAAAACATAATCAAACAATTTAAATTATTGTTGCTGCTTTATTGGGATCGCCGAACCCTGACATTACCGCAAGCCAGGGCGTTGATGCCCTTTGTGGCGGTATCGATATGTGCTAGTGTTTACGTGCCGCACCTTACATATTACAAGGGAGTTCAAACTTATTATTTTGAACGACCCTTCATATCTTGGTACCAAATTCGCCGCAAATACTTGATCGTCTTTCATGGTGATCCTGTGTACTGCCACGTTGGATGTGTCCTTTCTGCCTTCCACATCCTCTTCCGCAAATCTTTTTGACGTTTCCACTATTGCCACCGACAGTTTCTCCTCCAGCCGTCCTCCGCGTATGTCCTTTGCCGGTATCGACACGCTGTGTCCTGCGCACTCGACTTCGGCACTGACTCTGGTAAGGAAATTCTATCCTAACACCAGGGCGTCGATCAGTCCTGGTAAAATCAGCAGCTCCATTTATACTGTTTTTGTGCCAAGTCCGATGTTGATCTATAGCTGCGATTTTATTTTCCCGCACCGACAGTCTGCCACCCGCACTTGCCTTCTCCGAAGAAAATCACCTCGATTTTTTGTATTTTAATCAGAACCCTGGGAAATAGTGGCCGAATGTTGGAATGGCATACCTCGTTGAATTCGTTACAAAATTTCCAACAATGTGTCATTTACAGAAAAAAACAAGAAAGGAAAGCTAACTTCGGGCGGAGCCGAAGTTGATATACCCTTGCAGAATACTCTGTAAATTATATTCTCCAAAATTATTCATATGATGCGTTCTTAATACACATAAAAAATCCCAACTTCCTAACTTTAAAAACACCAAAGTTATAGCATTTCCAATCGTTCAGTTATATGGCAGCTATAAGATATAGTCGGCCGATCCTTATGAACTTTGGTAGGTCGGATTGATTGGCCAAAAATAAAACCCATAGAAAATCCCAACTTCCTAACGTTACAAACACCAAAGTTATGGCATTTCCGATCAATCAGTTATATGGAAGCTATAAGATATAGTCGGCCGATCCTTATGAAATTTGGTAGGTCGGATTGATTGGCCAAATATAAAACCCATAGAAAATTCCAACTTCCTAACTTTACAAACACCAAAGTTATTGCATTTCCAATCGTTCAGTTATATGGCAGCTATAAGATATAGTCGGCCGATCCTTATGAACTTTGGTAGGTCGGATTGATTGGCCAAAAATAAAACCCATAGAAAATCCCAACTTCCTAACTTTACAAACACCAAAGTTATGGCATTTCCGATCAATCAGTTATATGGAAGCTATAAGATATAGTCGGCCGATCCTTATGAAATTTGGTAGGTCGGACTGATTGGCCAAATATAAAACCCATAGAAAATTCCAACTTCCTAACTTTACAAACACCAAAGTTATGGCATTTCCGATCAACCAGTTATATGGCAGCTATAAGATATAGTCGGCCGATCCTTATGAAATTTGGTAGGTCGGATTGATTGGCCAAATATAAAACCCATAGAAAATTCCAACTTCCTAACTTTACAAACACCAAAGTTATGGCATTTCCGATCAATCAGTTATATGGCAGCTGTAGGATATAGTCGGCCGATCCCGGCCGTTCCGACATATATACTGCGTGCAAAGGAAAGAAGGGTGTGTGCAAAGTTTGAACTCGATAGCTGTAAAACTGAGAGACTAGTTTGCGTAGAAACAGACAGACGGACAGACGGACATGGCTATATCAACTCAGGAGGTGATCCTGATCAAGAATATATATACTTTATAGGGTCGGAGATGTCTCCTTCACTGCGTTGCACACTTTTGACCAAAATTATAATACCCTCTGCAAGGGTATAAAAACATCATTTGAAAAATTGTTTTGAAAAAAAACCAATACCCCAACCTGTAGGACAGAGTCAAAATCTGGATAAAACCAGCTCGATTTTCGGTATTTTAATCAAAACCCTTCCTGCCGCCTGCTCGTATCCACTGTGGCCTAAATTTTTTCGTTACCTATGAGAACTGTGGCGGACAGCTCTGCATGTCCACTATGTAATCCTTGAAGCTTTCCGCGTAGACTTGCTTCCTTTGCCTGTTCTGGTCTGCCAGCTTCGCCATGTATCCACGAGAAAGAAGCTGGAAGCTGTAGATAAAGTCTTTCCAGATCTTTATTGCCTTTGCCAGGACAATCACTCTTGGTCGTCAAATGTTTCTCGCTCGCCACGTCAACGTGCGGCTAGCGATGTTGTGAGTTCGATCCACTAAATTTTTATTGTGTGATTGCCTTTGACGAAAGGATGACGCCGGAAAGGATTGGGACTGTGCTTATCTTACTATAGCCCTTTTGATACTGCTTCTGCTGCTCGTTTTCACTGTCCTCTGACGCAGCCAGCTTCTTGCCGCTGCTGTGTTGCTCTTGGCCTGCTGCTTCGTCGGTTCTGGCTTGCTGATCCGGGTGTCTGAGATCGGGACCGTTTATTCACTGTGCGTTTGACCTGGATGCCCTTCACTCCTCCGGCATTCTCGCGTCCTTCTCTGTTTCCAAGCCGCTTTCCTGTATCGGGATTTGTTCAAAAATGATCTAAAGTAGAATAAGTCGTTTGAAAAAATTGGTCAACTATATCGGCTATTGGCTGATCTGTGATTGCCGTCATGTTTTCAAACCACAGAATACGATTGTAGCTTGATGTTAACGAAGTTCCGAGTATAAAATTATTTCGGGTCCTGCGAGAACTGCACCTTACGGTTTCGATAGTACCAAGGAACACAGGAATTAAAAAACGATTTGCAGTGCAAAAACAATAAGGACGTCATCAATAATAGTCGGAACTAAAATTATTTGGCCTTGAAGAGCCTGGTTGATTTTTTAGATTTTTCTTCTATAATCGTACCTTTGTCGATTGTCACTTCGATTTTCGGATGATATAGATCTGTAATTTATTTATTCAGATGTCGACTTGGTGCTACCCTGGACAGACACTCCTTCAGGATTTGATACAAAACACAAATCAAGTAAGTGAATTTTCGAACATGGTTTACTTGAGATAACAATATGTCAAGCAGGTCGTTAATAAAATCATGTTGTGTTATAGGTAGTATAGGACCACGTAGTTGCAGGTATATTAAAATCGTTTAGTACTACCAACTGATCCCTATCTGAAAGCTTATTTGCAAAAGTCTTGATAACGGTAAGGTAATTAAAATAATCAGGTAGTTCAGACACGGCGGAATATATGAGTTATGTATATAGAGTTACCAGGAAGCGATATCTTAAAGCAAATAAATTCAATGGTATTTAATTTTTCAAAAAATAACTCCTCTAACGTGAGGTTTGAATCCACTACAATTAAAGCCCCATCTCCCAGTCTAGGTGGACGGTCTTACCTATATATTGTGTACTTACCTGGAAAAACTTCGGAGCTGATATTTCAAACTGATTTTATTTTCAATAAGTCCTAGCTTAGTCAGCCAACATAAAAATCGTATTCTAGTCTTATCGCTAGACTAACGTGTCTGTTTATACTTAGCAAGGGACAATTCTTGAGTGCGATAGGGGAGCTTATGTTTCAAAGATATGCTGAGATCCCACGCATTACATTATTTGTGTTAGGCTCAAGTGGCCGCTATGGTTAGAGTTACGCGCACATGCGCTAAGCAGAGTATAGCTACGTCAATTTGTTTATTATAAAGATTATTCTTATATATATGTTTTCATTTGTGAACAACTTTATTATAATTTGCAAAGGAAATTATTTCAAAATACAATTTAGTAAGGTTGCTACGCAAGCCTCTTGCATTTTGATATGAAACACATACTAGGAAATTTTACTGACACGGCCCCCTTCTTTTTATCTTAGCTTAGAACTATTTTACTCCCATAGTTTCCGTGTTTTTGGTGGAACGGACATTGTTTCTGCAGAGCCAACTTGAGCCGGTAGTCCGGACCCTTGTGGCGGTGTTATGAGGGATAGGGGGACCCACTAATTGTGAAACCATATCTGACAAATCTGAATTCATAGAAGTCCCTGGTTGCATACATTCCAGTACGGATTGTTCGCATACCGAATCTTTTTTAGCTGCTGATCCTAGCAACATTAAAGGGTTTGCTGTTGATTTGCGGGTGCGCTCTGCTGTTCCTTTGATTGAGGATGCACGTGCCACCAGCGGCTTTTTTAAGCTAAAGGGACTCTTTTAGCTTACGGACATTAAATTGCAAGTCCAGCGCAGAGAGGAGAATCAGCTTGGAGAAATCTATTTCTAGAAACTCCGAAACAACTAATCAGCCCCATCTCGTTCGCAACCTTGACGCAAGCCAAGCGTAACAACTGAACTGCAAGTTGGGCGCCTTCTCTTTCTACTTATTCGAACCTATGTACAACAAACTTTAAATTTGTAAGTGAGCAGTTAAAGGTAAAATAGAGCGAGAAAGCAGGAGCGAAATTTAGTAAAAGTGCACGCAAAAGCAACATCAAAAACAGCACTACGTCTTACGACGGATATCGCACAAAGAAAAAACAGAACAGAAATACAAAATGAAAATAGTTTTGTAAATTTTTAAGGTTGTGCACAAAAGAAATATAGATCTCCTTCGGGAAGCCAATTTAAATGTATATTTAATAGGTGCCTGTTTTGATAAAGCCCACCGATTCGATAAAACGAAACAAAATACAAATTCGGATAGTAAAAAACAAATACTTTGAAAGTCAAACACGACTATGATTAGAAGCCAAAAATGCCTTATTTCTTTTCAGTAACATATTTTTAAAGTTTTTTAAAGTTTTCGCTATCGCACACTTAAAAATGCATTTGTGTACAGGCCAATAATTCAGGTCTTCGTTTTTATTGTCATTCTGAGTCACATAATTCAGTCTTTGGACTGCTTCCACACCGGTCTAATTTTGTGCAGATCTATATCCATAGCCTCTGTAGGCGTGTTACTATCTTCTTTGCCCTGTCGTTCTGGAGCATGTTCACTATTGTTTCCGTTGTTATACTCTTGCAGTGGGTATTATAATTTCAGTCAAAAATTTGCAACTCAGTGAAGGAGACAATTCCGAGCCTATAAAATATATATATTCTTGATCAGCATCACCAGGAGAGTCGATCTAGCCATGTCCGTCTGTCCGCCCGTCCGTCCGTTTTTACGCAAACTTTTTTTGTTATTTCGGATTTGGTAATATTTGAATACTATGGAATTATGGTTTTACTTAAATTGAAATCGGACTCTATATCATAAGCACCCATAGGAAAATCGAAAAAATTAAAAGAAATACAAATTAAAAAAATGTATTTTGCTTGTTTTTCTATTTATCAAAATATTCCTTTGAGATATAGTACTACTACATCAGAATTATCGCCTGATCCGGGTCGTTCTGACATATATACTGCCTGCAATTCAAGAAGATAGCTTTTAAACTGTTATTGGTAGATCGACTCTCCTGGTAATGCTGTTCAAGAATATATATACTTTATAGGGTCGGAAACGTCTCCTTCACTGCGTTACAAACTTCTGACCAAAATTATAATACCCTCTGCAAGGGTATAACAATTAAATTAATTATGTCCCAGGATTTTTGAAAGATGTATAAAAAAGCCAAAAAGTCAACAGTGAGCTCAATTTTGTGAAGATTGTCTTTTGATTCTCTCAAGCTTTTTTAAAAAACTTTTGTCTACATTTACTTCATTAAATGCTATGAGAAATGGTTCAAAGTTTATCTAAACTGTTGAATATTGTGTTACAATTATTCAAAAGTTCATATAAATGGTTTAAAGTTTATCTGAACTTTTGAATATTGTGTTACAACTATTACGTGTAAGAAAAGGCGCCTAGGGCAGGGCTAAAATCTTAGACCTTAGACTTAGACTTTCCTTAGATGACCGACATGTTAATTTAATTGTCTTAATCATCATTATCATTTTTTTCAGTGTTAGCCTAGACAACAATATTTTCCATACGTACGTTTCTAGATCCAAAATAAATTTGTATTAAACGGATAGGTGCAATTAAATTTTAAATGTGATAATAATAAGATCGATACATAAACCTGAAAACTTTGGCAATGATTCTCTTTCAGACCAAAAGTATTACAAATTTTAAGTTAACTTAGTTGGAAAAAACAAGCATCGGATTGGGATCCTTCAACGCGTATTTCGAATAGAAACAAGAACCATGGAACGTGGGTGAATTTAATAACATTTTTATACCCTTGCAGAGGGCATTATAATTTTGGTCAGAAGTTTGTAACGCAGTAAAGGAGACGTTTCCGACCCCATATATATATTCTTGATCATGATCAATAGGGGAGTCGATATAGCCATGTCCGTCTGTGCGTCTGTCCGTCTGTTTCAATACCGTTTGCGAGCTCAGTTTAAAAGCTAGCGATCTGAAACTTTCACCATCATCCTAAAACATGTGTACGCAGATCAAGTTTGAAAACCGACCCGATCGGATGTCTATATCCTATAGCTCCCTTAGGAACAATCGGATATAACTTTCAAGGATGGAAGATATTTTGCGCAGTGTAAAAGCTATTGAAATGCGTCTTTCCAAATCTTATTTTTTTTATGCATACCTTGATCAGGGTAAAAGCGCGTGCCGATCGGACGTCTATATCCTATAGCTCCCATAGGAACAATAGGGTGAAATCGGTTAAAATTTGATGTTTTTCAGGATATTTCGTGCAGTATATAAGCTATTGACACGAATCTTTACAAATCGACTTTTTTATGCATACCTTAATCAGGGTTAAAGCGCGTGCCGATCGGACGTCTATAACCTATAGCTCCCCATAGAAACAATTAGATGAAATCGCTTAAAATTGTTCATCAGGTTGTCAAATATCTCCCTTCCGCTTTTTTTGGTTTTTGAGTTTGGCGACTTTGTGCAAAGCGCTACATATCGGCATCGGGCAATGCTATATATCGATCAAGACATAACCTACAAAACGACGCTATTCATAACAAGTTTGGTTATTGCGTTGAAAAGTTATACATGTGTAAACATGGAGTTCGTTAACGCCGAAATTCGCGCTGTTTTTAAGTTTTCCTTCGTAAAAGGTAAATCCGTCAGTTCAAACCGCGGAGGAATGGTTTCGACGATTCATGGAAAACATCGAGCTAGACATCGAGCACCAAATTGTTTTAAACCATCTGTAGAAGGCTAGATACAAAAAAAAGCTGGATGTTTGGGTGCCGCATGATTTGACGCAAAAAAAACCTGTTGGACAGAATCAACGGCTGCGATATGCTGCTGAAACGGAATGAACTCGACCCATTTTTGAAGACGACAATATTAAGCGAAAACGGTCGTGGTTGAAGGCCAGTGAATCGTCCAAAACAGTGGCCAAGCCGGGATTGACGGCAGTTTTTCCTCTGTGATTGGTGTGATTGGAAGGGAATCATACACTATGAGTTGCTCCCATATGGCCAGACGCCTAATTCTACCATCTACTGCGAACAACTGGACCGCTTGAAGGTGGCGATCGACCAGAAGCGACCAGAATGGCTAACAGGAAGGGTGTAGTGTTTCACCAGGACAATGCCGTCTAAATGGGAACACATTATCGAACAAAGAGAGTTATTTGACAACATAATACTTTTCAGGATAGTTCGATCAGTATATGAGCTATTGACAAATCTTTCCAAATCTTATCTTTGTATGCATACCTTGATCATGATAAATGGGCGTACCGATAAGACGTCTATATCCTATAGTTTCCATAGGAATAATAGGGTGAAATCGGTCCAAATTTGATGTTTTTCAGGATATTTCGCGCAGTGTAAAAGCTATTGCTATCAATTTTTCCAAGTCTAACTTATTTACGCATACCTTGAAAAGGGTAAAAGCGCTTGCCGATCGGACGTCTATATTTTATTGCTTCCATATGAATGACTGTTAAAGGCTGTGAAAATATCCCTTTTTTTCTATTTTTATTTGTCTGCAAGGGTATTAAAACTTCGGCATGCCGAGGTTAGCTTGCGTCCTCGTTAGGTTTAGTACTTTGTTGACTGCGACCTACAGTGATAATTTTATTCTTGCTTTTATACAAGTGTATATACAAGATAAATAGTCAATTTTATCTTATTTTTAATTTTTTTGACATTTTACTTTCTTTTTATAGATCTGCTCTTCCTTCAGTCTCTACAACTATCCCGAATTGCTATGTGTCAATTAAATCCTTTGCGATACTGTCTAGCTCCAGTTGCCACGGCCTTCGCTGGCGTGACGAGAACTTACCAACTGGCGTACTGTCATACTGTTTTAGAACGCAATGCTCGACGTAAACTAGCCACAGTTTACGGTCATGACAAGTCAATGCCTGAGGAGACGGCCGAAACGTTTTTTCCATTCGATCCTTATTTGCTAAAGATGTGAGTACTAATCATATAACTACATCAAAACAAAAAAATCATCAATTTTATTTTTAAGATCAAAAAAGTATATTGAAGCCAACTATGTGGTTTACCAGAGCAATGATACAGAAGACTATGTGCATAGTTCTGCCGAAGACCGCCTTTCTCGAAAACGTCGGGACTCTGAAATGGTCGAAGAAGACGAATTTATTATACTTGATAAACGTCAAAAGTATTTGGAAATTTCTAAAAGCCAAGATTTTGACAAGCAATATTAGTTCAGATCTTCGCCGGGAATTAACACCTAGGTCATATTTAACTAAGCAAGGCTTTTTTATTCTACAAACAATTTTTGAATAAAAATAAAGATAAAAAAGTTTCTCTGACAGCCCTGGTCATCATTAAGTTTTAGAGTCTTCAAATAAATTATTCAGAATTTAAGTCCTTTCCATCACTTTATCCTTAAAACTTAAGTTTTATCTTAATAAAACGATTCAATTTCTCTGTTTGTCGACTTTTTTGGGTAGTTAACACAATAACTGTGGGTCTTTTTGATTTGTTGATTTGTTTTTTGTCTTTTACTTTTTGTAAATACATTTTATAACTTTTTTCTATTCATTTCGAACTTTTGAAGACGTATCGCCACTATAACAATATTTTAGTTTTGTCTTAGTTTCATAACTGGATGTTTATGTGCACTTTATCTTCATCTCCAGTTGCGTCTCTACTAGACATTTACGCCGCCGAGCCACGCCGCCGCCGCCGCCGATTTTCGTCTTTTTTAAGGCGCCGCCGCCGAATCAAGAAAATATCGGCGCGGCGGCGGCGGCGTTCGGCGCAATAGCATTTTGTTTGATGCTTTTAAGTAATCGAATAAAAGAATCGATATTGTCTCAGCTCCATCTCTCAGAAAAATAAGTGTTAATTTGTTTTTAATTTCTTGAAATCTTATGTTTGTTTAATTATGTTATTATGTTTAATAAGGAAAATAAATAAAAGTTGAAGAAATTAAGGAAACTTTCGACGGCTTAGCTGCCGCCGCCGCCGCCGCCGCCGTTTTCATTTTAACTCTACGCCGCCGTCTTTTCTTGACCCCCACGCCGCCGCCGACAACCAAGCCATCGGCGTAAACCTCTAGTTTCGACAGCTTCGATTGCTTGCGATTGAACATTTTAAATTTCTGTAGAATCCTTAAAAACAGAACTTAAAAATACAGAAAAACTCTGCATATAAGTTACCAACATAGCAAGTTATTTCGAGATTGGAAATGGAGATTAAAATGGTTTGATTTCCAGTACCCAAAATATAATTCGCATCGTAAATTTGAAGTAAAAACAACTTTATTTGATTTTATTCTTAAACCGCTAAAGTTTGCTTATTGTTGGAAGAACACTGAGCTTGCTCCCTAACTGATACTTCATTAAAGATGAAACCTTAGTTCTGAGCTTTGGAGCTTTTAATGAGTGATTTTATTGTTCATTGAATGACTTTCTGAGCTGGACTTTGGAGCCAAGACTTGGGTCACGATTTTTATACCCTTGCAGAGGGTTTTAAAATTTTGGTGAGAAGTTTGTAACGCAGTGAAGGAGACGTTTCCGACCCTATAAAGTATATATATTCTTGATCAGGATCATTAGGAGAGTCGATATAGCCATGTCCGTCTGTCCGTCCGTCTGTTTCAATACCGTTTGCGAGTTCAGTTTAAAAGCTAGCGATCTGAAACTTGCACAATCATCCTAAAACATGTGTACGCACCGATCGGATGTCTATATCCTATAGCTCCCATAGGAACAATCGGTTATGTCTTGAAAGAATGGAAGATATTTCGCGCAGTGTAAAAGCTATTGAAAAAAGTCTTTCCAAATCTTATTTTTTTATGCATACCTTGATCAGGGTGAAAGAGCGTGGCGATCGAACGTCAATATCCTATAGCTCCCTTAGGAACAATAAGGTGAAATCGGTTAAAATTTAATGATTATTTGGATATTTCGCGCAGTATATAAGCTATTGACATGAATCTTTCCAAATCGTATTTTTTTATACATACCTTGATTAGGTTAAAAGCGCGTGCCGTTCGGACGTCTATATCCTATAGCTCCCATAGGAAAAATAGGTTGAAATCGGTCCAAATTTGATGTTTTTCAGAATATTTCGCGCAGTGTGTTAGCTATTGACATAAATTTTTCCAAGTCTTATTTATTTAAGCATGTCTTGATCAGGGTAAAAGCGCTTGCCGATCGGACGTCTATATCTTCTAGCTTCCGTAGGAAAAATTGTTAAAGGCAGCGAAAATATCCCTTTTTATACCCCTGCAGAGGGTATTATAATTTTGGTCAAAAGTGTGCAACGCAGTGAAGGAGACATCTCCGACCATATAAAGTATATATATTTTTGATCAGGATCACCTCCTGAGTTGATATAGCCATGTCGGTCTGTCTGTCCGTCTATCTGTTTCTACGCAAACTAGTCTCTCAGTTTTAAAAATATCGAACTGAAACTTTGCACACACCCTTCTTTTCCTTTGCACGCAGTATATATGTCGGAACGGCCGGGATCGGCCGACTATATCCTATAGCTGCCATATAACTGATTGATCGGAAATGCCATAACTTTGATGTTTGTAAAGTTAGGAAGCTGGGATTTTCTATGGGTTTAATATTTGGCCAACCAATCCGGCCTACTAAATTTCATAAGGATCGGCCGGCTATATCCTATAGCCGCCATATAACTGATTGATCGGAAATGCCATAACTTTGGTGTTTTTAAATTTAAGAAGTTGGGATTTTTTATGAGTATTAAGAATGCATCATATGAATAATTTAAGTGAATATAATGTACATAATATTCTGCAAGGGCATATTAACTTCGGCTCCGCCCGAAGTTAGCTTTCCTTTCTTGTTTTCTATTGACATAAAACTATAAAAATCTAATTTATTTATGTATACTTTATTCCTTTTGCTACTTTTTAATTTTAGCAATTTCGGCAAAGTCTGCAAGGGTATTAAAACTTCGGCGTGGTTGCTGAAAAAGAATTTCGACCCAGCCCAGAGTAGAAGTCGTGGAGAATTATTCAGTAATTGATGATAACTAGGCTTATTTCAGTAAGATTCTTGACATTTGATTGATTCTGACCAACGGATTCTCCTGACTGGCGGTGTGCCGCCCTTCCTGCTTTCGTTTCCTTCGTCCAATCCGACTGCCCGGTGACGGGAGCCGTCCCGCTGCTCGAGAGGCACAGTACGGGATTACGGCTGCTAGTAGAATAGACACCGGTGCTGGTTGCCACGTAGAGAGCCAGAAATAATAGTATGTTGCTTGGGGACCCTAAAGTCAGCCACAAGAGAGAGAGTATGTTGCTTGGGGACCCTGAAGTCAGCCACAAGAGAGAGAGAGTATGTTGCTTGGGGACCCTGAAGTCAGCCACAAGAGAGAGAGAGTATGTTTGGGAACCCTGAACTCAGCCACAAGAGAGAGAGAGAATAGGTTGCTTTGAGACCCTGAAGTCAGCCACAAGAGAGAGAATAGGTTGCTTGGGGACCCTGAAGTCAGACACAAGAGAGAGAATAGGATGCTTGCGGACCCTGAAGTCAGCCGCAAGAGAGAGAGCGCGGCCGGTGAACCGAGCCGTAAGAAGGCGTGATCCTGAAATCAAACGTCTCCTAGTGAAACCTTCGGATCGGCAAGCCGAGCCGGGCTTAAGGAGGGTAGTGGGAGAGGGAAGTTCTACGGGAACTACTACAATTTATAAGCGGACTCAGATCGAATGATCCAGTCCACCAAAAAAATGACTTTGCTGCTCACCAGCTACTGGGGAGTTACCTCTGGTCCCGAAGACGGTCTGCTGCTCAGTCGTTTTAGGAGCTGCAGAGAGTTTAGATTTGAGATTATAGGAAAAAGTATATTATAGTCAGAACATAATACTCTAAAAGGCTCATGCAAGGCATAGTTAGATCTACAATGATTTAAAATTAGGGGAATATAATTTCTAGTTAATCTACTTGGCACAGAAAAGTTTAGTCGACTTATCAAGTCGGGGAGTCAATATGATAAGGTTATAAATGAAGAAAGTACCAAGCATCGTTCTACGGTTGCCTAGGGAGGGTAAATTAATCACCAGAAGTCTACTAGAATAAGAAGGTAAGTTAAGATTTGCATCCCAGGTTAGGCGCCGTAAAGCAAAAAGAAGAACGTTTTTTTGTACTGCTTCAATACGACCAATATGTATTCCGTACTGTGAACTCCAGACGGGAGACCCATACTCCAGAATCGGACGGACTAACGAAATAAATAAAGTTTTAGTTAAATAAGGATTGTTGGGTCAATGAGCTTTTTTACTAACGCTAACCTTTGATGGTGCCCAATTAAAATAAAACCGTACAAGATTTCAATTAAATATGCAATAATTTTATTATAAAAGACACCAAGGCCTTAATTACAAAGTTAAATGTTTATGTTCAAGATTATTTGGTTGGGCAGGCAGACCGATTTGTCTGTGCCTTTTAACTAGCGAAAATATAAACGAAGAGAATAGGCAGGCGATCTGCGACCGTGCCTTCAGCGAGCGAATACAAAATCGAAAATGAACTTAAGTAGATGCTTGCAGTGGACAAAGGGCCAGGCAGCGATCGGCGAAGGAATTCAAAAGGAGTAGCAATTACAGTAATTGAAAGAGATGCCACGCAGGGAAAATAGAAAAGGCAAAAAACAAACATCGCGAGTGCAATTTACGTTAAGATTAGAAACTTTAAGAATTTATTTAGTCTGCGGCATGACCGAACATTCCCCCCCGTTGAAAGACCAGGGTTTTCAACCAGATCTTGCTTCGGCAGGACGCACAACTTGCGGACAGCTCTTCGAGTGGTTCCAGTTGATGTTCGTATTACTGCCACATGAGCAACTCCATCAGATCCAGGCACCAATTCCATGACCCTGGCTAATGGCCATTTAAGAGGAGGCAAGTTCTCGTTTTGAACCAGGACGACATCGTTGACTTGTAGCGCAGGTTTGGGGATGCGCCACTTTGACCGTTGCTGCAACAGGGTCAGATACTCTTCACGCCACCGTGACCAGAAGATTTGTTGAAAATAAGCAATTTCCTGCCAGCGGTCCAAACGGTTGAAATTTAGCTTTGTGACGTCAGGCTCAGAGTACAACACCAGCGGAACTGTGCCAAGAAAGCGTGCAGGATTAAGCACCTCAAGGTCTGCTGGATTCTCTGAAAGAGGTAGTAAAGGTCGTGAGTTGATAATTGCTGCAATGTGGCAAACGAGTGTACGAAATTCATCGAATGATAATAGAGATGGGCCAACCGAACGATAAAAATGAAATTTGACCGTTTTTACTGCAGCCTCCCAGAGGCCTCCAAAGTGAGGCGAACGTGGGGGAATAAAACGCCAATCAATTGAATCTTCTAGGCAGAATTCCTCTATAGCTCGAATGTGTGGGCCAGACAGGAATAGATTCTTCAGCTCAGCCAGTTTGTTTTCAGCTCCAACGAAGTTC